GTGTGTGTGTATATAGGCCAGTAACGGTATATGTGTGTATAGGGGTGTGTGCGCATATGTATGTATGTGTGCTGGTATACAGGGCAGCATGTATGTCTGTGTGTGCGTGTGTATATGTACGGGACAGTCGTGTATGTGTACAGTACAGTAGTGGTACATACGTGTATGCGTGTGCATGGGGGGGGGTGCATGCATGTGCCTGGGCCCCTTCTGCAGGGGCACCTTTGAGCACGCCAGCATGTGTGTGCATGCATGTGCATGCATGTCAGCCAGTGTGACTGCCTGTGCCAGCAGGTGCGCCCTGACCCCATGGCCAGGTGTGTCACTGAGCGTGGGGCCGAGAGGCACAGATACCCGGGCAATGGGCACGGCCAGCCCCTGCCCCCAGCTGAAACCAGCTCCTCTCCTGCAGGCGCCTGGGGGCAGCTGCGCGCTGCCCTGTGGGAAGCCTGTGCCCGGCGGCTGGTGCAGGGGTCGGAGGAGGCCGTGTGCATGGACCGCGCCATAGCCATGCACCAGGATGCCTGGCACATGCAGGAGTCGGAGCTGCAGGGCACGGTGAGCAGAGCCCCCGGAGTCCATCCCAGCAGGCTCATTGTGGCAGGGGGTCCTGGCAGGGACATCCCTGCACCCCGTAGCCCGTGACCCCTGGGACCCCCTGGCTCCTCTCTCTTCTCCACCCCAGGTGCCTGGGTATGGACCCCCGGGCTGCTCCAGGGTGGCAACAGGGAGCTGGGACCCCCCCGGACAGCATGGGCAGCCCCCAGCAGCGCTCCTAGAGCAGGTGAGCTCCCACCGGGCAGCACCGGGCACCGAACCCCCCCCCAGCTGAGACCCCCAGTCTGATGCCCCTGAGCGCTGGCAGGGGGCCTGGTGGGGGGAGAACCCAGCCCTCCCAGCTCCAGAGGTAGGAATAACCCCAGACCCCTGACCCCACGGGACCTCCTGACCCCTGCACCCACATGCTCCCCTGCCAGGCTCGGCCGCAGAACTCGGGCGTCCCAGCAGTGCCCAGGGGTTGCCCAAGGCATCCTCCGAGGGAGCACAGCCCAGCAGCGGAGACTCTGGACGGCGCGGGGGTGGGCATGTCAGCTCAGGGGGGTCCCTGCCCTGTTGCTCTCTGCCCCCCAGGACTCCATGCCCCACGTCCCGGAGCTGCACCTGGTTGAGGCTGCAATGCCAGGAGCTGTGGGCACCCAGACCCAGGGGGTGCGGGATATCCGGGCACTGTGCCCCGCACCCCAGGCCAGGCCCCAAAGGCTGCTGCAGGGAGGACCGGTAACTTTGGGGCTCCTGGAAACCGGGGAGATGCCGGCACCGCAGAGCCAGGGATCCCCAGTGATGGAGCGGGCGGGCAGTGAGCTGCAGGAAGAGGGGGTGGCAGACCCCAGTGAGGCCCCCCCAGCAGGTCCCGGAGCCCAGGGCATGGAGCACCTGGCGTCGCTGGCCAGAGACACGGAGCCGCATGCCCAGAGCACGCGTGGACCTGCAGAGGCTTGCCAGGCTCCGGAGACGCTGCCCAGGCCCCCGGTGCCCCCACAAGCCGGGAACCTGGAGGTGGGCGAGCCCCACGGAGCAGCGCGGAGCCGGCCAGAGCCACAGACCCCCGCGCCCCGGTGGCTGGAGCCCCGTCCGGCCCAGGGGAGGCTGCCGGGGGGTGAATGGGTCCTGGTGCCAGAGAGGCAGCACGTGGCTCCGGCGCTGGAGGCTCTGCGGGCTCAGGGGATGCTGCAACGGCAGCTCCCGGCCCTGCAGCCACGGGGGGCGTCGGAGCCGTGTCGGAGCCAGGGGCAACACCAGGAGCCCCGTCTGGTGCAGGTGCCAGAGCCAGGGCAGACTCAGGGCTCCAGCACCCAGCAAGTGCCCCTGCAAGAAGCCCCCGGCACCCGTCAGAGGGGGCTGGAGCTGCAGCCCCCACTGCCCCAGTGGCTGGAGCCCCAGACCCCGGCGCTGGAGACCCTGAGAGCCCAGGGGATGCTGCAGCGCCAGCTCCCAGCCCTGCAGCTCCGGGGCCCTGTGCCCGGCCGGCCAGAGGTGCCACGGGCCCCAGAGCTGGAGGGGGGCACGGCCCCCCAGTCCCAGCCGCCTTCGCCACCGGGGGCCACGGCGAGGCCGGGGAGCCACAACCAGCACCTGAGGCCAGAGTGCAATAGGGTGAGCGGGGGACAGAGAAAGGGCTCGGCCCCAGCGCCTCCTGGACACGGGGCGTGGGGGTGGGAACGTGACCCACGGGAGAGGTGGGGGGCAACTATACCCCCCAGAAGCTGAGTGGTGGGGGTATGAGGGGTGGGCGCCAGGCCCCTGGTGCCCACGTAGGGGTGGCACCCTGGAGGGCAGCAGTGCAGAGTAGTTAGAGCATGCTACCTCCCAGCCCCCCTATGCTCAGACTGGGCCCAGCTCAGCTTTCGGGGTCCCCCCCCAAGCCCTTGCACTGATGCCACCCCTCGACGCAGCCTTGGCCGTGCCCCCTGCGCCGGGAGAAGGCGTTTGTGCTGCCCTCGCGGGCGGAGCAGCAGGCGGCCGTGCGGGAGCTGGCGGTGCTGCAGCAGCGGGCGCGGAGCCGGTGCCAGCAGGACCGTGAGCGCCAGCTGCTGCGGGTGAGTCGGGGGGCAGTGCCAAGGCACGGGCCAGTTCCCAGCCCCAGGGCGATAAGCAGGCCCAGTGCCCGCCTGGTGCTGTTCCACTTGGACGGGCCCCACCCCAGAGCTGGGTGCACCCCAAGTCAATGTGCCCGTGTCTGATCCAGGTGCAGGAGCGGCTGTGCATCGCCAGGGACAGGAAAGCAGAGGACAACTGCGTGGGCACATGGGCGGGGGACCTGGCCCAGCTGAGGCAGCAGGCAAGGCCCTGCCCCGATGCCAGCTCAGCACCACAGGTACGATGAAGCGGGGCACAGGGGTCCGCACATCCTTCCAGCAAAGGATAGCACCCATGCCCATCACTGCTGCCCGCCACCCTAGTGCCCTGTTGATGCCAGGCAGGGCACCCCCCATCCCTGTTGGTGGCTGCAGGCTGGGTTGGGGGTTCGGGGGTCTCACACTGGTGGTGCGGCTGGGTTGGAGGTTGTGGGGGGGGGGTCTCACACTGGTGGTACCCCCAGGA